CTTCTTAGAGGTTCCAAAACCTCCCAACAGCTATTGGGGCTGAGGGCAGACTACCCACAAATGGACCTCTGGGCACGCTTCTCCAAGCCATAGCACCCTTTGGAGGTTGTAGGAGTGCGCTTGACCTGGGCAGGTGTGGACCTTGCAGTAGTCACACCTACTTGTGAGGTTGTGGGTATAAATGTTGTGAGTTCAGTCTGGGACTTGGAGAGTTTGAGGAAACTGCACGGTAAAGTCAAGTTGGTAGTGAGACACACAGGTCTGGAGCTGAGATCAGAGATCTGGGCTGGGGACAGAAACGTGGGCATCACTGGGCTGCGTCAGTAATCAGAGTTGTGGGTCAGCCCAGAAGTTGGGCAGCCTGAAGGGGAAGGGAAGCAGTGCTGGGCCTGGCCTCAGGACCCTGCAACACGGATGGAAGGAGGCTGGCCATCCCAGGACAGTGAGGGTAGGAGAGAGGTGGTGGAAAGGAGAGACTGTGTTGAGGAGTGGCTAGGTGTCATGGAGAAAGGCTCTGAGGAAGAACGCAACAGGTGAATGAATAAGCAAATGAAGGAAGGAAGGAATGAGACACCCCCAGGTTATGGAGCCAGGAATAATACAACTAGAACTCAAGCCCTGGTCATCCATTCTCTGTCCTTCCCTTCAAACCATGCTGAGTTGGGGGTGTGTGTGTACCTTTGCACTGAGATGTATGCCATCCCTCTTTATCTTTTACTTTGAGATACAGTCTTGCTAAACTTGAATTTCTGATCCTCATGCCTCAGCCTCCCAAAGAACTAGGGTTATAGGTGTGCATCACTGCACTCAGCTAAACGATGCTGATTTTCATAACCAAACCCTTATATTCAAAGTGGCATGAATGAGGCTGGGGCAGGAATACTGTGGGGGTTTCTTTGGTCGTCGTCGTTTGTTTTGATTTTTGTTTTTTTGAAATAGGGTCTTGCTCTGTGGCTCAGCATGCCCTTGAACTTGTAATATTCCTGCTTCAGCCTCCTGGATACAGGGACTATTGGTGTGTGCCACTATACCTGACTTGAGGTAGGAGTATTGTGAGTTCAAGGCCAGCCTGTACAGTTTAGAGACCCTGTCTCGAAAAATAAAGGGTGGGCCCTAAGTTCTATAAAAACAAACCAAAAACATCTTACATTCGGAGAGGGAACCTTTTTTTGAAAAGGTAGAGATTGGGAAAGAAGACGTGGATTTGCAGAGAGGATGGGGTATTCCCATTGCAATCAAATGGCCCTGCTGAAGACCTGGAGCTGAGGGTCTGAGAAATGAGTTCAGGGAGCAAAAATGAGGCTTGGTTGACGCCTGCACCTTTATCTGTGATTCTTCTCCACAATCAGCTTCTAAATGCTTGCTGGCTCTTCCAGTCGTTAGCCACACTCCCACATCTGTGCCTTTTTCACCTGCCACCTTCCACAGATCTTTGCAATGCTACAGCCACCTGCAGCCCGTGACTGCCCCATCAGCAGCACTGTGGTTGTGCTCTGGTTAAGCTGGAGCTTTTGGACCAGGGGTTTCTCAGCCCACTTCCTGCTCTATCCGCATTCCTTTCTAAACATCGCTTCTCCTGAGACTGCAGTATTCATACCTTAATGATTTACTCTTCATTCTCAGCAAGTGATTACTGAGTAATTGATTTATGCCATGCATTGCTGATGAGCAAAAACTAATAAAAGTTCCTGTCTTCAAGTAGCTTACATTCTAGCAAAGAGATAGAGAATAAAATGAGTACATTATATAAATGTTAAGGCAAATGTTAGAAGGCAACAATTGACATGAAAAGAAATAAAAACCATAACAGAATAAGGAAGTTGGGAGGGCAAGTGATAGCAAGGGCATAAGTTTTAGTCCTGTGTTGTTCCCAGATCTGACCACCTTGTCCCAGACTACATCTGTTCGTTGTTCTTGCCACTTTGCAGCCAAGCCCTCTTAGACTGTGGCCAGACTCCACCCCATCTGCATATTCAATTAATTATGATGCCTCTCTTATCCCTGTGAACTTTGAGATTTCCTATTGCCCTGGCCTAAAATGTCATAGACATTGCATCCTTCTGCCTTGCCTTTGAAACACTCTGCAGTATGCCCTTGTTCTCCACTCCTGCCTGTATGGTCACCATCCTGAGGACTTGGTCTCACCAGTTCGGTACTTGGTTCCATCAGTTCAGTCCACTTTCCAAAGCTGCCTGGAAGGTGACTTATGCATCTGGCTTCTTTCCATACATTAGCCCAGTGTTAGAGCTGGGGACATAAACATGAATTAAACATGGGCTTTGTCCTTGGGATGGCCACAGTCCAGTGTGGAAAAGGGTTTCCAGCAGTTAGAAGATACTGTGGTAAGAGCTGTCTCAGACTTCTTCTCTCCCTTCAGTGGAGAAGCCTTTCCAGGCAAGACCTGAAGGATGAGAATCTGCGTTTCTCAGACAGCCAGGGAGAGTGGAGGGGCACTCCAGACAGAGGCTTCTCCATCAGTCACAGTCTGTCCCACGGGGGCATCATCTTCTCTTGCTTTGTATTCCCCATCTGCCTGGCAGGCTGTTTGCCAAAGATTAGATATTAGTAAGTGACATATAAATCATTTGAGGCTGAGAGAGCAGTCAAATTATGAGGCTTGACAGCTTAGATGAGACCAGTGTTTGGAAGACTCACATCTTTGGGAGAGAAATCTGGGTTTGGTGCAGCCAGAAAAGTAAGATAAATAAGGCCAAAGTGGGGAGAGACTTTCAAGGAAGAGATTTGTTCTCGGCTTCATCCTCTATCCACATAGGTGCCATATGGTCTACTCCTAGGGCCTTGTGGTGGACACAGGAGTTCATAACCTCTCTGCTCATACGCACAGTGGGAATTGGACCTGTGTCTCTGCCAAGCCGTGCATTCCTGTGTTATTTCGCTGCTGCATTTGAGTAAAAGTGGGGTGTGTGAGCGCCTGTGTAAAAGCATTTTGAGGCAGAGAAGATCATTGTGATTTTTTAAAAATGTAGTTGAATATTTCATGAAAGTTTTTTTTTGTCTTTTTGAGACAAGGTCACCCTGGTACTGTTCAGGCTGGCCTTGAGCTCACTTTGTAGCCGAGGCTCTTCTCAATTTGCAATTCCTGCCTCAGCCTCCCAAGTACTGGGATTATAGATGTTTACCACCATGCTCTGTGTCATTGTGTTTTAAGAGAAAGATACTTACTTAAAAGCTAAACTCCTCAGGTTTCTTGTTCATTGAACACATCATAGAATTTTTGGAATAAAGCTAAAATTCTGAAGATGCTTCTAGTTCTGAAAACTACAAATATAGAAAAGAGCTGCAGGAAAGGCAACCCTCATCCGACTATGTAACTTAAAGCCTATGGCCTGGTCTCTAGAAGGTTTAGTTTCCTCATCTATAGAAATGGTAATGAAGACTATTGTGAACCGGTTGTGTGGGCATAAAAGAGGCAATTCACTGCAGTGACTTAGCACAAAGTGACACAGTTCACTCCTCAAGGGGACACCTTAAAAAAAGTTGGATCCTGGCCTGGCTGACTTGGGAGTCAGTGTCACCGTATAAAGCAGCCTGGAGTCTGAGCGTAGATGAGCAAGGCAGTCTAGGGGGATGGAAGGAGGGGCAGAGGCAGTAAGATTCAAGGCAGAAAAGAGAGGCATCCAGCTCCAGAGATGGAGGAGGACAGTTCCCAGGAAGAGGGACCCGTATGGCACTGTGATCAAGGCTGAAGGCTGGCGCAAAATAGGGGAGCAAGAGTTTGTGCAGAGCTCTGAGGGCTAGGGCAGAACTGGGGCATCTGTCTCATCTTCACAGGTGCCGTGCTTGTGTCTTCTAGGGGTAGATGTAATTAACGGGGCCCTGGAGTCAGTCCTGTCCTCCAGTAGCCGTGAGCAGTGGACCCCAAGTCATGTCAGCGTGGCCCCTGCCACCCTCACCATCTTGCACCAGCAGGTAAAGAGCTGGGGTAGAAGAATGCAGGGCAAAGGAAAGAGGTCCCACTAAAATGCACGTGCCCAGTGGACCAGAAGGCTGGGGAGGGTTCCTAACCGGGCTCCTTCCCTCCAGACAGAGGCAGTGCTGGGGGAGTGTCGGGTGCGCTTCCTGTCCTTCTTGGCTGTGGGCAGAGATGTCCACACGTTTGCGTTCATCATGGCTGCCGGCCCAGCCTCCTTCTGCTGCCACATGTTCTGGTGTGAGCCCAATGCCGCCAGCCTCTCTGAGGCTGTGCAGGCTGCATGCATGGTAAGCAGGTAGGACAGCGGGGTGGTGGTATGACCTGGCGTGGGGCCGGGTGGAGAGTGACTGCCCTGTCTGCCTCTACAGCTCCGCTACCAGAAGTGTCTGGATGCCCGCTCCCAGACCTCCACCTCCTGCCTCCCAGCACCCCCTGCGGAGTCTGTAGCCAGGCGTGTAGGGTGGACAGTGCGCAGGGGTGTTCAGTCGCTGTGGGGCTCCCTCAAGCCCAAACGTCTAGGGGCTCAAACCCCATGAAGCAGCCCTCTCCTCCTCCCACTTGCTTGTGCAGGGGCCCAGGGAACTCAGGGGTGTGGGGCAGGAAAGGGCCCTGATGCTGTTCCCAGGCCTTGGGTCCCCCAAGCTACCCCTCCTCAGGAGCTGAGGTTCCCTGCCCAGGGGCTGGAGAAGACAGCTGATCCCATCAAGGAAGTGATAACACTGCATTAATAACAAGAGGAGCAAAGAAGCAAGGCCAGCCCTGGGCTCTCCATCCCCAGTGTTTGAGGTGGAGCAGGAGGAACTGGTCCAGGCCAGACCATCCTCATAAGGCCCAGAAGGATCAGAAGGAGGATGGGACTGGTGTGAGCATGGGTCCCCTCTCCACCGCTCTGCGGGTACCTCCACTGTACTGATATCACTAATAAAGCCTCTCTGCGCTGCTGTGTGCCTCTCTGTGCCTGCACCACACCAGTACCCCCTACCACCCCCTACATCATGATCCTGCTCCCAAGGTGCCTATGCCCTGCCTACCTGAAAGTAAGAAACTGGGACAGTCACAGGGGATCTGGAGTCCAAGTCTCTTTATCTTTATTTCATCATCCTGGCAGATCAGGTAGCAGTAGCATCGACCTCAAGTGACAGCTCCTGTCTGGCTGTCCAAGGCACTTCGGCCTCTGTTCCGTGGCTGTGATAATGGACAGCAGTCTAGGTCCTGGGTACATAGAGAGCAGGCAAGCCCGCTCCCACATGTGGCCAGCCTGGCTCCAGGAAGGAACGTCCTGTTTCGAGGCATCCTTGGGGCCCGAGGATAGGCTCTTCCACAGGATGTCCTTGCCAGGTTGAATGGCAGCAGCGCTCTGGGCTTTTGCTGCTTTCCTAAGACATGAACAAGCGTTCCCGACTGTACCTGAGGTCCTAGCAGAATGCGGGCCTTGGCGACCAGCGCTGGACATCTGGGAAAGTCCCATTGGGCACCAGGTGGCGGCAGAGCGCTGGGCTGTCAGCACGGGCGGAGAGTTGGGCGCACAGAGTGGTGAGGCGGCAGGGTGTGCCGCAGGGCTCCAAGGGCGGGTGGCCCTTGTGGTAGAGAAACCAGAAGGTCTGGAAGAGCTGCGTGTCATCCCGCATGCGGTATACCAGGTCGTGCCAGGCGGCAGGCAGTGCGTTGGGCAGCCCGTAGGTTTCCCGAGCCCTGTAGAGGCGCTGCCAGTGCGGCGTGGCTCCCGGCACATTTGCCTGCGTTAGGTTCAGGATGTAGGTCTCGTGATCCAGGACCACGTGGGAGCTCCCGGGGTAGTTTCCATCGATTTGGTAGACCCGGTACCCTGCAAGGAAGGAAGGCGACTCCAGACAGGGCCACATCCAGGCTGCCCCTGGCTGCCTTGGCCCCACCCCCTCTCTTCCCAGCCACCCCAGGTGAGGGGGACTCTTCTACCTCACTCACCAGGGTTAAGGCTGATGTAGGTGGTGGCGCTAGGTGCCAGGAAAGCTACGGACAGAGGCCGACTCAGAGTCTCCTCATCATAGAAGATCTCAAACTCATCCACGTGTGTGTGGCCGAAGAACTGACCAGCCAGAGTGTTCTCATACCTGGCCAGAAAACGGAATTGTAATTAGAAGATTAGGGGTGGGGGAAAGCTGGGGTGGGGTATGGGCGGTGAACAGAGATCTGGGGAGTTTCTCTTTCTCCATCTTCCTCTCCGCAGCCTACAGCACCCCAGAGACAGTAAGATGCTCAAAAGAATTTCAGCCTTTAGACTCTTCTCCCCCTCTTCCACTCCTTCACCTGGTCCAGGCCTACCTAGACACAATTCGATAATAATTCCAGCTCCAGCTCTTCAGGCAGTGCCCTGGGGGAATGTGGCCGATTATATGCACCTGGGGGAAAGTTGAGGGTAGTTATTAGGGCATCACGGGATCAAGACAGTGCTGGCCATAGAAGGAGCCAGCCTTTCTAAGAGTGACCATGAACCGAATCCCCCAGGATTGCTAAAGAAGCACAAAAAAACAAGCTTCTCTGCTCCCAGGGGCTCCAGCTTGGCAGGTGCCTGCTCCTCCCGCAGCCCTGGCAGCGCCCACTCTCCCAGGCTCCCCCCATGGTCCCTCACTTTGTCTCCTCTGTCCTCAGCAGCCTGAAGCTCTCCTATGAGCCACTGGAGCTGTCCAGCAGGATCTGTGGAGTTGATCAAGAGCCAGAAGTTCTCACGGGAACAAAAATTCATATTGAGAGAGATGAGGCGGAGGCCAGGGCGTGGGGAGAGGGCATAGAATCCCCCAATTCTGAAACAAAGTGAACAAATTGGTGGTGGTGGGGGGATCAACATTTGTTTGTAATCCTAGTCCTGCATGCCTGGTCCTGTGTTAAGCAGAGACATACATGATGTCATCCTCACATCTGAGGAGCCCACAGTCTAGCTGACGACCAAACAGTACTAATTATGGGGCCTGTAAAGCAAAGAAGAAAGGCTCAGAGGGCTGAAGGCTCCAAGAACTCAGGGGAGAGGTAAAAGTGAGCTAGAGGTGGAAGCAGAGGCCTTTTCTGAGGGAAGATGACCGGGCTTGGGTATGCTGGGAAAGGTGGTGGTGGTGGGGTGCTTTAGAGGCCACTGGGAGCACATGGGGCATGGAGGGTAGGCTGCTAGCTGTCTGAAAGAGGAGGCTGGAGATGAGATAGAAAGGAAGGTGGAGTCAGGCAGTGCCAGTGAGGAGCTAGGGACTCAGGCTTGGGGGTCCCTGAAGTGCAAGTTCTCTCCCTTTGCTTTCACCCACCTTTCTGTTCCCTTCTTGAGTTAATGAAATACCTGAGGGTTTGAAGGGCTTCAGTGGTCAGCCAGGGCTCCCAGGTCTGGGCCATGGCCTCATACAGCCAGTTGGAGGACTGGTTGCCTTTTATGAAGGGGGGAGGGAAGCTATTGACAGGAGTGCTCTCGTGGTTGCCAACAGCAGGGTAGACTGGCACCGGCCCGAGGAACTTCTTCACGAGGTCAGTGATGGTGTTCAGGGCCCGCAGCTGATCCTTTCGGGACTGCTGCCAGACATCGTGGGCAGGGATGTCTCCTGTCCAGTACACCATATCAAAAGGGCCAGCCTGGCCCAGCCCACTCAACATGTTCTCCAGGGTCCGCAGGGGCAGGTCACACTTGCTGTACTCGCCCCAGTATCCAGCGCCCGGCTTCGAGGTAGGGGGCTGGCCAGAGCCCCGGCGGCAGCACAAGGGGTCCACACAGTTAGGGTCTGTGCCCTCCAGGTAGTCATGATCCCAGTGCAGGTCAGTGAGGAAGAGGATGCGGCTGACAGGGGCACCCGGGGCTGGTGGGCTGGGTGGCTTGGGGGGTGGCTTTGGCACTGCTGGCAAAGAAACATTCCAAGACGAGAAGACGTCCCAGTGCCCACAGGTGGAGCCCAGGAGCAAGCCACAGGCCTCAGATGGGCTCAGCACCGAACGGGTCCATACTTCTACCATGTCGTCCTCAAAGAGACGCACAGCGGACTCGCACACGTTGGGGGGCGCTATCTTTAGTAGCTTGCACAGCGAGGTGGCCACGGAGCCCAGGCGCTCCACATTAGGTTCCTTCTGTGGTGGGAGGAGCCAGAGGTGAGAGGTCAGAGACACATCAGGAGACCAGGCCACCCCTGCAGCCACCCACTGGGCCTCCCTGTATGCAGGAGGGCTGGGCTGGACTCGGTGCCACCAGGGTTAAGAGACCTCAGTGCCTCCTACACAACACCTTGTGACTCAGGCGGCACCGGTCGGTCCTTTACTTCCTCTTTTAACTCAGTGGCCAGCTCAGGAAGCTGACTTTCCCGGGTGCTGTCAAGCTTTCCCCTCACCTTGCAAGGGTCACATGGTGGTGGTGGGGGGTAGGTGGCACCAGAGGTCCCCAAAGGGAAGCAAACTTCCTAAAGCAAAGCATCCAGGATGCATTCAACTCTGAACTCCACCTTAGTCCTCCTGGACTCACACCCCAGCAGGTGCCCCCCCCCCATTTTGCAGCTGCTCACCTTCAGCCCGAAGTCGATAGCGGTGAACAGGCCTTTGCAGACTGGACAAGTGAGGTTCCACCACCCAAAGGCGGCCTGGAGCTGGGGCGCCGCGCCACTGAACCTGGAAGGGTAGTTTTGAGCAGGAAGAGGATGCGCTCCGGCAGGAGCCCAGAACATCATGGAGTCACACAGAATCAGCACCAGCGTCAGGCTTAGGGCGATCCACAGGCGTCCCAGACTGGAGGCTTCTGGGGGTCTCTCAAATCCCTGATCCCAGCCGGACCTGGGGTGGCCGTGGCCTGGTGACACTCCGTGGCAGGGCATTGCCAGGCTTCCCGGACAGGGTCGGTTTGCCCCTCCGGTCCGCACTGGCCTAGGCCTGGCTGGCCCTCAGGGCCCCGAGTGCGCTGGGGACACCCGATTACCCTTCGCTGTGGTCAGCTGCCGGCTAAGCAGTCAGCCGCGCAGCAGCTCCACCCCTTCCTGTTGGTCCAGCAGCTGATCCGGCACAGCACTGGCAGTCTTGTCAACCCGGCGCGGAGGCGGAGCGCTGGGACCGCCCCGGGTCCCGCCCCGGTCCCGCCCCGGTCCCGCCCCGGGTCCCGCCCCGGGTCCCGCCCGGGACGGTCCCGCGACCGCGCCCTGTTCTGCAGAGAAGGCGCCTGCCCGGCTGGGCGTCGTCTCCGTGCCCTGGCCGCAGGAGGTGGCCTGGGGCGGCGCAGGGTGAAGAGGGGGACCCCAAAGAGGCCTCGCACGTGCTCTGCGCACCTAACGGGGGAGGCTGCGGAGGGCCGGGGTCGGCGATCGCCCGCGAGTCTGCCTTGCCAAGGAGGCCCCAGCTCTCCGTGTCCTGCCTCTGCCCTGGCACCGCACCCTTGTTACCTGAACTGAGAATCCTTGAGTCGCCTTTGGCTCTGAATTCTCTGAATGGAAGGGAACGTGGTTCCCTTGAGGACATCTTTGAGTTTTGTAGATGAGGAGAGTGTGAGGCTTAGGGGTGGGGAAGACTAAGAAACAGAGAGATTTTACACCCAAAACAGACTGGACCCACTACGACGTGTAGCCATCAGGGTAAAAGCTATTGTTTCCTGAGGGTTTTTTTTCTTTCTTGTTTTGTTGTTTTCCTTTTTCCTTTCAGTACTGGGGATTGAATCCAGAGCCTTCACACTGAACTACATCCCCAGCCCTTTTTATTTATTGTCTTATTATACTGTCTCCTAAATCGCTGAATTGCCTGGACTGGATTCTGCAAACCTCAGCCATGAAGAGTGTGTGTATAATACAGGCATGCAACCCTGCTTCCTGTTTTTTGAGCCTGGATCTGGCTATGTGCTTCAGGCTGGCTTGGCCTTGACCTAACTCATAACCCAGGCTGGCCTCAAACTTGGGGTTCTCCTCTTTACCTTTCTGCAGGGCCCTACAACTCCCCTGGAGAGGTTAATTATGTCTAAGTTTAAAACGATATTTATGGTCAGGGATACAGCTTTGCGGCACAAGTGCTTGCGTGACAAGTGTGAGGTCACGAGTTTGATCACCAATACCAAAAAAAAAAAAAAAAAAAAAAAAAGAACAAGCTACTTAACGCTTAACAACAGAATTTATGGAAGTCCTCAATTCTGGGAAGTTTCTTTTAGTCAGACAAAAGGAAGCTCTGAGGGGGTGGGGGTGGGGGACGCCTCTACTGGATCTGAAAAGTTTTAAACTTAAAACAATGTTATATATCAACTCTGGAGTTTCGAGTGTGTTCATAACTGTGGGGTTTTATACTCTTTTGGGGTTGGGGGTCAAGCCAAAGGCTGAAACATGCTAGGCAAGTGCTCTACCCCTGAGCTATATCCTCAGCCTTTTTTTTTTTTTTTTAAACCTTTTTTATTTTGAAACTAAGTCTCACTTAGTTGCCCAAGCTAATCTGCAACTTCCTTTTGTTTTTTTCTTTTTATTAGTACATGTTTATGGTAAGGGATGTTACATTCATAATGGAGAATTGGTGCATGTATACAACGTATCTCAATTCTTTTTTGCCCCCCCCCCCTTTTTGGCCAATATCAGATTCATTTATTTATTTTATAAGTCTTTATAAAGTTAGTGATTAGGCATGGTAGCACACACCTGTAATCCTGTAATCCCAGCTCTAGGGAGGCTGAGGCAGGAGGAGTACCCTGAGTTCAAGGCCAGCCTGGGCTACAAAGTAAGTTCAAGGCCAGCCTGAACTCAAAAAGATAAAAATAAAATAATAAAGTGAATGATCATATATACAGGTTAACAGCCAAAAAAACATATAAAACACGTAAGACAATTATACTAAATCAAGGTACGCTTTTAAATACGGTGTTAATGTTGGATTACAATAACTTTTTTCTCTGTTGTTTCCTCTCATCTGTCTTTTACTTTGCACTTTGTATGTTGTTTTTTCATGTAAAAGAAATCATGTGATATTTAAAGTAGTGTGTTTGATTTACTTCACTTAGCTTTATGGTTTTGATATTGGTGAAATACAACCCCCAACCTGTCAGATGTCAAATGTGCTGAGTTTATGGTATCACAACATCAAGGAATGAAGTTCAAACCCAAGAAAGAAGCTAGGAGAATTTAATTGGAAATAAAGAGAGAAGAATAGCTCCTGGATTGTTAGAAAGGGTCCCAAGTGGGGTTGCCACCAAGGCCCTTTGTCAGGGGTAATTTATACTGCAAAGTTGCAATGTGGGTACAAAATGAGTCAAAGTAAAATCAACCTCTAGGATTAAAAATGTAGCTGCTTGGCTAATATTGATCGAGTGGAGAGATAGTCAAAGAGCAAGGGTATGTGGAAAGAACAAAGGCATTTTCAGGACAGGATGGGTCCAGATGCTCTGGTTGTTCACCTGGGCAACTGATATCTATCTGGACTTCCTGGACCAGGTGGTGCTAATTAAAATGTAATCTCAAATTATTGTTTATCCTCTAGGGAGGCAACGTAGGTCTGCTCATTGCATCTTTATCTTGAAGCCTTTATTCCCACTTACCTCCAGCCATTATGCTTATGTGTTTATTTTTGCACTCACTTCCTTGAGAGCCCTGTCCCTCTCAGACTGCATATTAATTTTTGTCTAACTTAAGTGCCTATAATAGCCTCAAGGTGCATCCATTTTCTTACAAATGACTCAAGTATATCCAGAGTATTCTTTAGGGCAGAATAGTGCTCCAGTGTGTACAAATACCACTTTTTCTTTAACCACAACTTTCAGTTCTCCAGCCCTGATTTCCTGAATAGCTGGGATAACAAGTGAGCACCACCATACCCTGCTTATGTCCTAGTTTCTGAATCTGATGATTCAAGCAACCCCAGGTCAGAAATATTGGGATGTACTTGTATTGAACCTTTATGATTTTTTTCTTTTCATAATTCGTTAAACAATACAGTATGACAACTATTTACAAAGCAATTATACTGTATTAGGGATTGTAAATAATCTACAGATGATTTAAAGTATATAAAAGAAAGCAGGAGGGTGGGCAGGAGGAGGGTAGTGCATGTCTGTAATCACAGCACTTGGGAGGTTGAGGCAGAAAGATCACTGCAAATTCAAAACCAGCCTGGGCTACATAGTGAGTTTAAGGCCATCCTGAATTACACAGTGAGAGCCTGATTCAAAAACAAGACAAAAGAAGACAGAGAAGCCAATAGTATTATAAATGTTATGGCAAAACTGTTGTCTTACTTTTGTTCTTTTAAAAGCCTATTTGTGTTTCCTAAAGAAATCAACTTTCCCTAGAATCCCTTCTCTCCCCTACACAACTAATTTAGGTGCAGAAGCCTTTTAATTTAACTATTTAATAAGCCAGCTACTTCTTTTGTTGGCTCCTTATGCATACATATAATTCCCTTCTCTCTAAAGATTTTTATTTTGAAAGTATGCAACAAAACAAGTCAGAATAAAGCCATAAGATCATACAGTGAAATTGGTACAGAACTTCACAGCAGGTTACCGGGGTAACAGTAATAGGTATCACAGTATATTTTTTTTAATCTTTATAATAGTTGTTCTTTCCATCCCATATATCAAAAATGAGATGAAATATAGAACACTATAGAACTTATCAAAACAGAATATTGAATAGAGCAGTACCATTAATCAGAAAAGAGCAAAACAGTAATAAAAATATTTGCCTTCAAAGAAATGGTAGAGGGAAGTCCCCCTTATTTGCTATGGTCAACCTCCCAGGAGATGCTCAGATTTCTGTTTCCCATTTGCTAATGGGCAAGGGTGGGGAGTATAGGGGAAGTGGGATATTTGACTCTAGGCCATGTAGCAGTAGGTTCACTACTGCTAAGCAGGGAGGCAGAATGGTCATTTGTTTTCACAGCGTCCTCAGTTCCAACATGGCGTGGTTTTCAGGAGACACTGCTAGTTCTCTCCCTGGAAGGGCTGCAGTCTGCCATCCTGCCTCTGCTTACCAGGGAGGGGAGGTGCTGGCTTGGCTTCCCAGAGTCCTAAGTTCCAACATGGCTGTATAATTCCCTTCTCTTGGAAATCTATACTTTGCTAGTCTAATTCACATGCCTGGGGCAATGAACCTAAGCGGGCAGAGGAAGGTTTTCCCATCAGCAATCAGCAAGCTGCTTCTTTGTCATAACTGTGTGCCTGGATCTATGCCTGGGTCTTTGAGGATTAGGATTTTGGCAGAAGGAAAAGCATAGAGCACAAAAGAAAAAGCCTGGCACATCTCCTCTTTCCCACCTCCCTGCCGAGGACTTCAGGTAGCCTGGGCTCTGCTACTGTTACTGATCTTCATCTCCATCCCTACGTAGGAGGACACAGACAACTTCCTAGTGTGAATTCTATTTATTGCTCAACACTTGGGCTCATGCCTGAGCTCCTTGGTAACATCTCTCTGATCTCTCCCTTCTTATTTTCCCTGTCCTTTTTCACTAGTTTTTTTTTTTTTTTTTTTTTTTTAGACAGGATCTTCTTATGTAGTTGAAGCTGGGCTTGAATTTACGTTGCACCCTGACTGACCCTGAACTCAGGATCATCTTGCCTCAGTCTTCCGTATGCTGGGGTTGCAGGTACATGCCGCATTGTTGCTTGTTTGTTTGTTTTTTGTCTTTTGTTTTTGGAGACAAGGCATAGTGCAGCCTGCCCTTGAACTCACCATCTGCAGCCAGGCTGACCTCAAACTCAAGGCGAGCCTCCTGCCTCAGTCTCCTGAATGGTAGGATTACAGGCATGTGCTACCATGCCTGGGTTCTACATTGTTGCTCTGATAGAACCAAATGCCATCAGAGCATCTCCTGCTCCTTCCCTATGAGATGGCTGGTCAGATCTGACCTGGATGCCACTGCCCTCCATTCTGAGACAAAGGTTCTAAGACAAAGATTCATGTTCAAGGGTGTGGTGTGCACAAATTTGAGGCCAGCCTGGACTACATAGTGCAACCCTGATAAATAAATGCACTAATTATAAAGTGCCCTTGAAAGGAATATGGAAGGAAAGGGAAGGGAATGTGAAAGTAAGAGGGAGATTGTGACAAAAGCAACATCT